CAACTGGTCGAGTCGACATTCCTTAATGTCGACTCGAATGGCAGTACCAGTTGACCCTCTTGTCGAAGACGACTCACCATGAGCCAACTCGACCAGATACTTGATGTCTTGCGAGGACGACTCGAAATGCGTTACTTCTTGACGAAGCTAAAGGACAACTTATGCCTCAAGCCTCTCCCACTGACAACGTGTCAGCATTACATTTAATGCATGGCAGGTGCACCATGCCTCTAGCTCTGATAGTCTTCATGACTCATTAGACCACGTATGCATCACCATACCTCCGATCACTTCCCATTTAATGCTAAGCTGATCGTTCATCCAGTCGCTAGCCGACACCTATAAAGTAGGTGCTGACTCAGCCGCCAGCCCACACTTCGCCACCGCCATCATATGTTCGGCCGAAGTGACCGATCTACCTTTAAACCCTCGGTATAAATAGAGATACTATTCTAACTTATAGAAGGATCTTTTTAGAGAATCTTCTTCTTTTTAGGTTCACAAATCTGATCTTTAAGCAGACATACTGCACACACAAGAATTCTAATAGTTCTTCACTTTTCCCACTCAAGCTCACCAGCTAACTTGATCGTCGGAGGAACCATGAGAGACCCAAGCCTCGTCCTCTTATTAGTTTCTACTTGTGCAGATTTTTCAACCACCTTACTCAGAACCAGATATAAAGTCGGGAAGAAAGCGACCCTCCATCAATACTCAACAACCCTATCCAACAACGAAAACAATTGACCGTGTGATTAATAAAATATCAATAATATTAATATATAATATATTAATAATATGTTTAATACTAATGTTATATAGAAGGTGTAAACAATAAGTAATTGAAGAATAAAAACCACACTCGCAGATGATATTTAAGAACACACACACACACACACACACACACACACACACAACACACACATATAGTTATATTATATATATATATATAATATATATATATTATATCATATATATATATATATATATATATATATAAGACACACAGCATATACATGTATATACATACATGTGTTGTATGTGTACACACCACACCACACACACACACACACATATAACTATATATATATATAAATATATAATATATATATATATATATGATATATATATATATATATATATATAATATATATATATATATTAACACAAACACATAATATTTTTGGGGAAATTGGCTTCTAGCCCCCGATTCCTTACAAGTATTCCGCCCTAAAGACTTTTAACGCCCCAAAAAACCCTAAAAAGCAAAGCCAATACTTTTCCTGAGCACTCAAAACCCAAGAGTTTAAAACATGTGTGAAGCACATTAAATCTCCTCCCTCCCTCCCTCCCCCATCTCTGTCTCTCTCTCTCTCTCTCTCTATTTCTCTCTCTCTATGTCTCTCTCTCTCTCTTCATGATGTTACTGTGATGATTTGAAATGGGCTTTGGGAAAAAAATCCTAGTTCCCTCCAAATTTTTTCAACGGCGTTGACATTGACGGTGAAATTTTCCCGGTGTTTGTTCATGAGGCGAAGAAAACTACGATCTTAAAGATGGTGATGGTGAGTTGCATAGCCATTTTAAAGAAAAAGGCGGGAACTCCGGCGACCCCGGTGTAATTTTTTTCTTTTTTTAACTTGTATTTGAATTTGAATGCTATATTTTTTGTTATTTTACATATTATTATAATTTTTTTGAAATTAATGACTTGAGATTAAACTAGAGTATGTAAATTTATATATTGTTGTTATTTCACTGTAATAAGTATGTTGTTAAGCTTATGAGTTGGTTGTGAAGGTTACGAGTTGGTTGTGAAGTTTATAAGTTGGTTGTCAAGGTTACGAGTTGATTGTGAATGTTACGCATTAGTTGTGAACGTTATGAGTTGGTTGTGAAGCTCGGTAAGAAGTTGATTGTGAAGGTTGCGAGTTAGTTGTGAAGGTTACGAGTTAGTTGTGAATGTTATGAGTTTGTTGGGAAGGTTACAGGTTGGTTGTGAAGGCTACGCATTGGTTGTGAACCTAGGTAAGGAGTTGAATGTGAAAGTTACGAGTTGATTGTGAAGGTTACACGTTGGTTGTGAAGGTTATGAGTTTGTTGTGAAGGTTACAAGTTGTTTGTGAAGGTTACGAGTTGGTTGTAAACCTTGATAAGGAGTTGGTTGTGAAGGTTAATCATAATCAACTCATTGCTGAGGTTTACAACCAACTCGTAACCTTCACAAACAACTCGTAACCTTCATAACAAACTCATAACCTTCACAACCAATGTATAACCTTCACAACCAACCCGTATCCTTCACAACCAACGCGTAACTTTCACAAACAACTCGTAACCGTAACCTTCAAAACCAACATGTAATCTTCCTTCACCACCAACTCATAAGCTTAACAAAAAAATTATTACAATAAAATAACAACAATATATAAATTTACATACTCTACTTTAATCTCAAATCATCGATTTCAAAAAAAAATTACAACAATATGTAAAATAACAAAAAATATATAACACTCAGATTTAAGTATAAGTTAAAAAAAATTACATCGGGAGTCACCGGAGTTCCCACCATTTTCTTCACCTTATGAACAAAGACTGAAAATTTTTTACCGCTGATGTCGATGCCGTTAGAAAAATTTGGAGGGAACTAGAATTTACCCCCCAAAATCCATTTCAAATTATCACAGTAACATCATTAAAAAAAGAGAAAAATTTATGGTCTTCACATGTTTTAAACTATTGGGTTCTATATTA